CCGACGATATTTACCTATCCTCTATGATGCCTAATCAGATGTTTAGACTAAAACGCTGTTGATGTCTGGTTTCAACGATTGCTCGATTCTCGTCAGACCACACATTATTATTATAGAAATTGAACATTCCATTTCTGGTAAAATTAGCATCATCCGTGAACAGAATGTTAGCTCCTCTTGCAGCTGTATGTAGTTGTGTTAGCATGTCTGATAGTTCTTGGATATCGTTGGTCATTATGACGATATGGTCTGCAACATGTGGATGGTTTAAATATATGTGTCCGGTATCTTACAGTTGTTAAGGGACTTGTTAATTATGCACACCGCCTCCTCTATGATTTTTCCTCTCTTTTTTAGTCAGACCAAGTATACGTTGTTTAATTCAATTTTTGTTCCTGTAGGTTTTCGTCTATTTTTAGTATTTGTAATCGGATTGTTGCCTTTCCCAGAATCCGATTTAAGGTTGACTGAATCGACATCAGTGTGAGATTTCTCCTTAAAGTCGACATCACGCATACACACAAAAATGGAAGAGTGGGTGTCCCTCTGTGACTCGGTCGTCAGAGCCCCGTTTGTTATCTAGTAGACGGTACCGGTACGGTCATCACACATGCAGTGGGGTTTACGTTAGACAGGTGCAAGCTGTTGCACCTTCGTCCCTTGCTCCTTATTCTTTCTTACTACGGTGGATTTATACTTACTTCCTGTACTTCACAGGAAGTGATATAGTATTCATTACATCTGATTTTCCATGAAAAAACTTGTTGATTTAAATATATTACTATTTATTAAAATTTTCAATTCGTTTGTCTAGTATTATAGTATGTTATTCGTTCTTAATGTACAATACACCTCATTTGAAAAAGAATTTATCAATTGTACTATCAAAGTACAATCGAAGTTTGCGGTAGCAGCATGTGGGTAGTAAACGTGTGGATGTTTTCCAGAAGGATCAGACTCCTTTAGACATCAAACACTATAGGCATTCATTTAAATACATTTTTACCTTTCTTAAGAATTCGTTAAAGTTGGTATTATTAACACAAACAAAAGTGACTTGAAGGTTATATCTTTCAAAAATAAAGCAAAAATAGCCATAAACCAAGTAATTCTCTTACAAAAAACAACTTGTATGATTTATAGGTTAGAAATCAACAATATCCAGAACGATTGTGAATTTAAAAATGATCTCCTTCATCAAACGCACTGTGATACTAAAATCGTAGCTTTTCATTATCCTTATATTTTATTGAACGGTTCTAAAATGATTATTTACAACATAGAATGTGATGAATTCTTAATCGGAATGGGTTTTGAGGCAGTTAAAGCTGTTCCATATGAAAATAGGTAAGAATTTCTTCTAAGTAATTAACCTTAGTTGAACGATAATTTTTTAGTATGTTTTTAATATTGGATACCAATGGAAATCTTATTTTAATCTGCTCAAAAACGTTATATTTTTACAAAATCGCCACGCAAACTCCATTTACTAATTTTGTTTATATTGAAAGCCAAAATGAAAACGAATTATTGCTTCAATTATTATTTATTTCAACATCTGCCGAAATCGGTTTAAATTATCTAAAATCATTTGGAACCATTTTAAACCTAGATGATCCAAGCTTTGTAATTAAACACGCCGAAAATATTCATTTAATCGTTCCTGAATCGATTCGAGATGATTACATTTACGTTACTAGTGTAAAAAAAGATGGAGTAATCGTTGAATTTCGTGTCCAAATTGTTAAAGAAACGGTTAAAGAATTTCGTTTCAAGCGTTTATTAAAACGGCATGCATTTGACGAGGCAGAAATGTTTGCTAAAATTTTTAATTTGGATAGGACGTTAATTGTGAAGGGACGAGCGAAAGCGCTAATTTCGAAAGACAATTTTAATCGGGAAACGATTCAGGAATTGTTTAAACTGTTCGATCAGGTAGATGATGTTGAATTCAAACTAATTTGTTGTTATGATATGTACGAATTATGCACAAATGGTGAGGACGTAAGATATGTTTTGGAGTATGGCTCTGATTTGGTGAGGAAGTATCAGGTTGGTTTTATTATTTTTGGTTTTTACATGAATAAGTACAAAACTGTAATAATATGTCAGAAGTATTTTCGAAATATTGAACAATTATTGGTTCGTTTTATATTTTAAACTTCATGCAACATATTTAGTTGTTATTATGTGAGTCTATATCTTATATGATATATATTGTCGTGTATCACCCTATTGTGAGAAACCTACTTCCTAATTCTGGAACCTCCGCAGGATATTGGAGATTCTGGTGACGTATCAAATACATATTCTAACTGACCAAAATAGAATTTTTCATAAATCACTTATTAGATTCACACTCCTTTTCTTAATACAAACGGGGGTAAAATAAGCAGAATATAATGTAAACAAACCCATGATGGCTGCGCTATAGTCGATTTTGGTTGGGGGAATGTTTTTATACATGGTCAGAAGCAGAATTTAAAATGGGAACAAATGATAAGTCTGAACCAAATACTTCGAGTAGGCCGTCAAAATGTTTTGTTGAATCCAGCGAGTGAACTAAGCGTCGAAAATCGTTCTGCAGCAGATTTATTACTTCAATGTACCCAAACAATAACTGATAGAGATAAGAGATTTATTCTTCTTATCACATGTATAAGAAAGTAAATTGCGATGTTCCCCGCATGATATAAAAGTAAGCGAATGAGTACAAAGAGGTTATTTTCAACAATAAAAGTACCTCAAATGGAGTTATGATGGTTACTCTGGGCATGCTGAATTTCATCAAAAATTTTCTGCGTCAGTAAGCGATAACTGAGAAAAAGTAGAATGGACATTGTTAGGTGACTTTTGCTTCGCGTTTCAGCATTGTTTGGAGATCCATACTTTTTAATCTATACATATTAGAGCTACCAGCCACAAGGGCAACAATATACATGTATGCCATGTATATGTGTATGGATGTGTATGGAACACATCCTCTCTAATGATCTGAGAGCTATAAAAAGTGGAGACTAACACCTAATCTAAAAAAGACGGAGGTTAGCACCTTCCACCTGATTAATAAAATGGCAACCAGGAGACTCTATGTCAGTTTAGCATAACGCTGCAGCACCAAATCTTCCCCAAATACTTAGGCGTCACCTTGGTCAGAACAATCTCGTTTAAAAAGCATCTAGAGAACACATCTGCGAAAATCCGACCTGGCAATAACATAATACGAAAACTCTGCAGCTCTACATGGATGTCGCAGCAACCACGCTGCGATGTTCTGTCCTGTCACTGGTTTATTCTACTGCAGGGTACTGTGCGGCAGTATGGATAAACAGTCCATATACTCAGAAAATCGACACACAACTGAACCAGACTATGAGAACAATATAAGGATGTCTTAAATACATTCCTCTTCACTGGCTCCCAACGCTAAGCAATATCGCCCCACCAAACCTGCAAAGATAGAAAGCTCCCCTAAAAGAGTTCAAGAATATAACTCATTTGTTGCCGATTATTTCATAGTGATGATTAGTATTGTCCCCTATGGAGCACTAGCAATCCCTCACGTGTTGGCTATCCCCCACGTGGCGGATAAGGTAATGTCTCCTAGATATGGGTGGTAACAGGAAAATGAAATATCTAACTACACTAATCGAGTTGCCGTTCAGGCGTGAGCGAGAACGGACGTGTACGTTGAGCGGCCACATCTGGCCTACCTTTTGTACTGACGATAACTCGTGCGATCTTAAAATATTATAATAAATAAACTTTTTCAAGAACAAATGACAACAATGCGAGTTATCTGATTAAATTAAATATGATAACAAGGAAAGCCCCAAACAGTGAGTTTAATAAGTAATGGATAAGATGGAAGAATCAGGATAACCAAACAAACAATGAGAAATAAAAAGAACTAGTACAGGCAGCTGTCAATTTAATGCAACTACTCCTAGTGTAAACACCTATGTGGCACAAGCAATTGACGAGTTGAAATGAAGTAATATTGCAAAAAGAAAAACATTCGCAATTAGAAGAAAGTATCAATAAAACTGAAAAAGACGCAAATATAAATTATCAAACAAACGAAGAAGAGTTAGCGAAGGAAACAGAATAGATAAGAGTAAAAAGAAAAGGAACAAAAATGGAAGATTGGATTCTTGCCCAATACCACCAGCAAAAGCACAAAATACTGAAAATAAACAAATTAAACTAAGAAAGTACAACAACCTTCGTCAGTAATATTAGATACTGTACAAAATTTTGAAGTGCTACATGAAAGGGTTCCAAACCAAACCTTTTTGATAATAGAAGTATTTAAAATAAATGTACCTGATGGCCAATATTACTCTTGTAAAAATAAACAGAATCGCCCAATTAAAATTATTCTAAAATATCTACCTCATGACTGAAGTACAGGAAAAATAGACTTTGACACGATACTGTGCCAAAGAACCGCGGTGGGTGAAATGTCCCAGTCAGTTATTGTGGATACTATAAGGATACTTTGTAGCCAGAACTACAAAGAAGTAAGCAAAATAGAACAGCGAACCCACACAACCAGTCAGAAATGAATCCAAAGAAAACTACAATCTCAGAGAAAAGTAAACGTAACATACAGTCAGGTATTGTATATCAGGAGTGTTGTGTATACAGAGTGTCCTGAAACTCAACGTCAAGTGGGTAGTGGGCGAGAGGCCTATCCATACCTGTTGTGGTAAAAATACCAAAAAATTCCATGCCTCTTAGCTAAGTGGTAATTACACATATTTTTGAAAATGTTAAAAATCTTAAAATTAAATTTCGGTACAACGGTCAGATATTTTCGCAATTTAATAGTGATTTGTTTAATAATCTAATCCTTATTAACCATGCTACCTAGGAGAGAGTGAGAGTGACACCTAAGTATTTTGGATGATTATTATGACTGAGAAGTCTGTCTTCGGTAGATTTTAAGTTGGTAGTTGCCCGTCCTGTTGTTTAAGTGAAAGCACGATACTTCCGTCTTGGCGGCATTGCGCCGTAATATCTAGTCTCGGAAATATCTTCCTAGGGTAGCCAGCTCATTTGTTAGAATTTGTTCAGTAGTCTTCCATTCCTTATGGTTTGTAGCAAGCGTCCAGTTGTCTTCTTATCCGAACTTCTTTGATGTGGTTTTGGGCACCTATCCTTATTCGAAGGTCATTGTTCAGTTTCATTTGGGTACAAGACTAGTGTCGCTCATGATAACTCTTAAAAATCTGTTAACATATTATTACAGCATGGCTGATAACATCAGTACATCAGTCATCTTTCTGCGTGAGATTGCTCGCATTAATTTATATATTAGTCCTTATCTCTCCACGGTATCGTATGTGGCTGATAAGTCAAAGCCTGTTTCCATATAGTTAGTCAGTACGAGTACTTGGTCTGTGCAGTCGTGGCTTGGTCCGAATCCTGCTTGTTCCACAGGTATGTGTTCTTCGACAATCCTATTTAGCCTTTCAAAATAAACTTTTTGAAAGATCATGCTTAGAAGTGCAATTAGTCGGTAGTTTTTTTTGGTGTATCATTAGCTTTACCTGGTTTTAAACGACTACGACTTTTGCATTCTTGACTTGATGGGGAACATTTCCCGTCGGAAGGATGTCCGAGAAGAATTTTTGTAGCCATGGCCTAGTAAATCTGCTATTGCGCTTCAGAACCTCAGCATGAATGGCAACAAATCCAGAGGCTTATATTTTCATTTTCAAAGTCTAGCAAAAAAGTATGATCAACACCAGTTTATGTCAACAAATACCTTATTCAAATCAAGACGAATATCACAAAGAAGAGCTGAACATACAACATAGAAAAATTGATGAAACTACAGGCTGAATTGATTTTGACACCAATGAACGTTTTTTTATTTCCTGTTGTTTTTGAATTGTTTCTAAAACTTAAGAAAGTGTAATAAAGTTTAATAAAATGCACCGAAAATTGTTCATATAAGTAATAGTATTAGGTACAACAGTTTTGCGTTTATTTGTGTGAATTCACACGATTTTTTGTACAATATTTTTAATTGAAATTTACTTATTTTAGGATAATGTAGAAATCGAAACTTTATCAAATACATTAATGGATGTTTTAAATAAATTCGAGACCTTCGAATTTTTACAGAGATACCAAAATAGCATGTCATGGGAAAAATTTTCATCATGTGATTCAACAAAATTGTATCTCGAGCAATTATTGATGGGAAATATGGAAGTAGCATCTATTTTGCTCAATCGATTGGATATTAAGTTGTCGGAAACTAATGTTACATCAGTTTTAAACATTTTAGATACAGTAATATACAAAATTATTTTTATACTTTATACGTATTTTTTAATTATTTTTAGATTCCTTCGGATTTTCGCCAACGTTTTTTGTATGGTTTTATTTCAATTACACTGCGAAATTTGCCTTCGTCAATAATCGTCTTCAACGAATGGATAATAAAGAAAGTTTTTGATATGGAAAAAGAAGAGCGTGTTAAATTCCCTGAAAACGCAATTACTTTTATTAACGAGATAACAACATTGTTGCTTAATGAAAACGAAATATTTCAATCTGACCTTTTTCAAAGCAGTTTCAATGATATCAAAATGCTTTTAGAGTCCTTAAATCGATTAAAACATCTATCAAGAACTTACAATATTTGCATTTCTCTTAGAAAATGTCTTCACGATTCTAAATCTTTAATTTTGACTTTATTATCGTCATGGCTGGACAAAGATGATTTTATAAAATTTTACGACGATTTTTTATGTAATTTTATATTGGAAAATAATCTTCAACCAGATGATGTGCTATTAGAAGCTATTGATCTCGCGATGAGTTATCAAAAAGCTGTTATGGAAATCTGTGTTTCATCCTATTTAGAACGAATTAATTCTATTGAAAAGAAATTGATGGCCATTTATAAAGTTGCTTTTTCCGCAAACGTTCCTTGGTCCAACTTTGTTAGAAACGTAGCGAATTCTTCATTGGAATATGATCATCCTATCACTGAACAGATTTTGGAATTAATTGAGAAGGAACCAAAGAAATCAGTTTTAATGAAATATAATTTACATCAATATATCAATTTAACTTCAATTTTTAAGGCAAGTACATACCGTCACCTAAGAATTATTTTGAACCAATTTTACCTCTACAAAGCAGTCACATGGATTTAAACATTTCTAATTCGTTTTTCTTCCGTGGTTGTGACTACAGGCTATGTCTAAATCCATGTTAAGATTAATGGTACCAAGTTCTACGTCACGTGGCTGCATGCTCTGTTACCATTGGTACAATACAATTGCATATAGTAAGATTGTGTTTTGAGCATGATTCAAAATAATTCTCATTTGACGATATATTTAGAAAAAAATTTGTATTAAGACAGACATATACAAAACATTTTACTTGTACAAGTGCTGCATAAGTATGAATTGCAAGACACATGTCCGAAGGTATTTCTAAAAAGGGCCTCTCTCTAATGTTTAGAGATTAACGACGCACAGTGGGGCAGAACAACTACAAAGTTGGCATAAATTCCCGGTCGCAATAAATAAACTATTAATATAATTAATTTGGTTTATTTCTAAACAAAACAATTATTCATGTTTTAGTAACAACCATATAAAAGGAACCCATATAAAACATGAAATTTAAAGTCAAAATAAAACAATAATTTTTTGTAATCGGCTTTTGTTTGTGAAACATTGAACGATAAAAATCGATTGGAAAATAGATTATTGTTTAATTTCAATATGAAACTGTGTCAATTATATAGGATTAGTATTTATTTTTGCATTATGTTTGGCAATGGCAAGATTCAACTATTCAAAAAAAATGCAGCCATCATCTTCTTCGCTATTATTATTTTCAATCTTATTATCATTTTCATTATTATTATTTTCATCGCTGCTATTACTTAACAAATATAAAACTTCTTTAGGCAAATGTTTTTAGATTTTTTTAGGTAACTTTCTTTTACTTGTTATTAGAGGATCGGAACTTAATGAAAACATTAAAAATATCATCATTACAGTTTGCACGGCTATTTTTTCTAGAAGTGTTCACGGTACCTTTTAAAATCTTTGTTAGGCGCTTCTTGTGTGCAGAGTTGAGAGCATGCAGTACCATGGATATTTTTCCACAAAATATCTAGCTGTTTAATGAGCATATTCTCGAAATGTATTCACATTAATTGAATGACCAGATGATACAGCTATTAAAATGACGTACACTCTTTTAATCAAATTAATGCCTACTTTCGTAATTTCCGCAGAGAGCAAAGAAACGTCTTGCAGTGTTACCATCATTTGTATTTTCAAATCCTGGCTTAGGTATATCTACCATTAAACCATATTTGTCTCTAAAGAGTTTTTGAATATTTCTTTTGGTTTGCGCTACTATTAGTTTACCATTACCTCGTGCTTGCCACTTTTTTATAGGGATTTTATAAGATAAATACAAAAGGCATTCAAAAAAATCGAATCATTTGATCAATAGACTTAAAGCTTTTCGATATTACGCCACAAATATAGCATTTCTGTGTAGAAGAAGTTTTAGTTAGTGAATTTCATACTTTGCCATCAATCATACAAAAAATTAACTTATGACTCCATCTGTAAATTTGTGATTTCTTTATCAACTCTATTTTTTTCTAGCTTTTGAAAACTCTTTAATAAAGTTGATTTTTAAAGGTTTGCAGAATCTTGTAGATGATGGGCGGGGATTTTGCCAAATTATCTCAGAGCTATCGCGTACCAAACGAAGCGGTACAACCGATGTTACAAATACAGATGAATCAGAGCCATCAAATCCATGAAACGCTTGTTTATAGAAACTGGCCGGAACTACATCAAACCCCACTTGGTTATTAAAAAAAATTTACTGAAATTCTTTTCATCTAGTGAATTTATGACATCCTTTTGTACAGTAATTAAACGTTCTACGGTATGATTTAGCAAAGCTTATGATTCAACTTCTGCTGAAACCGCTGTGATATTTACACTTTCCTTATTTGGATAGCATTTCTTTTTCACTCTCTGTACAACTTTGTAGGATGTTGTATGACGTCTAATTAATTTAGCTTCAACCAGTAAGGATAGGGCATCTTCCGCTGACATTTGACAAGAACGAGATTCCTGCTGATATTTGTAAGCATTGATGTATTTGCTTGCTCGTGTTGGAGAACTATTAGTAACTTCTTGCACCAATTTTGATGCTTGTAAACCCATTTGAGTGGCATAACTCCAGTCTGCAACGGATTTAGGCTTACGCAGTTCTTGTGCGCTCCTTACACTCCTCAAATGCAACAGCTTGGCGCCCTCGCTGTTTCACGTTTAAAGAATCTTTCACATTTAGAGAATCATAGCGAGGAAAGGAAATCATAGCTTGTAACCAACCACGATATTTCTTTAAAAAAAAAATTTCTGTCCGTTTTGTACCTTCCTATTTAGACTTAAATTGAACTAAAACTAGAACTAATACTAGAAACTTTCGGGTTTTGCCATGCGTCTTTTAATAAAAGGTTTGACGTTTCGGATGCCATGTTGCAACCTTCTTCAGAAACTGGTTCGAAGTGAATTGAACTTCGAACCAGTTTCATATATACAGGGTGGTTCAGTTTTTAATCGGGAAACTTTATGAGGACGTAGGACTTGCCAAAATAAATATGTAGATAAATTTACATTTTATCTTGTATTTCGGGTATAAGTATACCGTAAAATTTGAAATTTTGTATGTATGTACTACTGGTTAATACCTTATTTTCAACCATACCTTAAACTTCACTGGCGCCCTCTAAGGGGATGAAATTCACAATCCCTTTGATTTTTTTATAACAACTTTTTACCGCCATGGAATATTAACATAAAAAAATATGGGTTGTAAAGCTTATTCATTATTGGTACTTTTTTGTCTCTTTAGTTTTTTCCTTAAAGATAATAGTTTTAGTGTAAAAATATAAAATATGCTACATTGTACTGTAAAGCGCTGCTACTATTAAAAGAAAATGTTTCTTTATAGCTGGTTATGGAAGTTGTACACTTACTAGGATCTAGTACTAACTAAATAACACCAAGTAATTATGATTTTCATAAGAAAAGCCATAAATAAGACGACTGTTTGTCTGAACAAATTACGTTATTTTAAACAATATTAAAAAATAGATACTCTTGCTTAATAATAGTCAAAAATTATTAATAATCATCAACAATTATGAGGATTCACCGTAAATGAAACTTACAAGTTCTCAGAGCCAACTTTTAAAATAATTTTAGCTAAACATGGCGGCACATAGCGGTAAATGGCTCGACATTTTATTTTTTTACACGGAAACTATTAGCTTTCAGGAAAATACTAAAGAGACAAAAAAGTACCACTAAAGAATGAGCTTTACAGCCCATACTTTTTATGTTAATATTCCATAGCGTTAAAAAGTTCTTATAAAAAAGGGGTGGTGAATTTCATCCCCTTAGAGGACGCTAGCGAAGTTTAAAGTATGCTTGAAAATAAGCTCTTAACCAGTAGTAAATACGTACAAAGTTTCAAATCCTACGCTTTACTTACAGCCGAAATACAAAACAAAATGTAAATTTTTGTCTCAACTTTGTTTATATAAAAAACTTGTGTTATTTTGGCAAGTACTACGTCCTAGTAAAGCTTCCCGATTAAAAACTGAAGCACTCTGTATATCGCTCGTGAATATATTAAAATTTTATTACATTTTTTACAACATTCTTGCCCCACTGTGCGACGTTTAATCCTTGGAAAACACTCATTTACACGGCCCGGGTTTCAGCGTGGAAATCTGTTTGTATTGTGTAATTAACAAATATAATAAATAAACACATACAATATAAGTACAAAGGCTTTCACGGCCGATGTGAATTACATACAAGTGTTTATCTAACATAACATATTTGTACTTCAATTTGTCACAAATAATACAGAAATATAGAAAAATATTTTATTGCTGGTAATGTTTACAGAACGGTAATGTATGTTTTATTGTTATATAGTTCAATTAATACATGTCATTTTGTGCTCGCCGCAAATACTATTTTTACACAGATAACACCTTATGCGTTTTGGTTGATGATAGTGTGTTTGCTTGGAAACTTAATACAATTTTTCATAATTTTGTAGGCTTCTCTTTGTGATACATCATTACATGGCTCTTCTTTGTGTGGCACTTTTTGTGCCACAAAATCTTTCCGCCCTGACCTACATCATTGTGATAATGCGGATGCTGCTTCATGAATACTACATAAGCATTATGCAGCAACATCAATCATATTTATCATATTAGACAAAGTGCCATAGTTCATCGCTTTGTCTGTCTTTTACAAAAATATTTGCATATTTTTTGATCTTAAGGCAACTTTTTATGAAAAATGTAATGACACAACTAGAAATTTTCTTCAACGTTTGGTGTACGTGAAACTATCATCAGGTTTATTCTTTTTTTTGAATAATTCAATGTTTTTTAAATGAAATACATTGTGTGACATATCATTGAAATCAGAATTAATTATCCTATTTTTTGGTGTGAAAATCAAATATGGCGTTCATAAGAAAAAATAAATCTGATGATAGTTTCACGAAAACGAAACATGGGAGAAAATTTCTAGTTATGTCATGACATTTTTCATGAAAAGTTGCCTTAAGAATGTTTTTCAGATTCACGAAAAAACGAAAAATAAAGAAGTTATAGGCAAAAAAAGAAAAAGTAATTTTTTTGTTTTTCGGCCATATTTTAAAAACTAAAATGGTCTAAGTTTCGCAACTTTGCCCCTAAATTTAACTATTTCTGTATGTCTTATGATTTCTAAGATCCCAATGGTGGGGGTCGAATTTGAATTACCTGTATACACGTGTTTTCCGTGCTCTCGTCAAAAGTTGTGTTTTTGTTGGTTTTTCGCGGTGTTTAATTGTGCGATTTCGGCCAATAAGTTGTTCATAGGTGGTGAAGTGAAGTAGTTGTTTAAGGTCTGCAGTTAGTTTGTGGCTAATTATCTGGATAATTATCCCGACTTTTATTTTTGTATTACGTCGAAACATATTATTTCGAAACAGCCCGGATTACAATGTTCTGGAGATTGCGGAC